GGGGGGGGGGGGGCAGCAGGTTAGGAAGTCAACAAAATGTGATGTCACATGTCAATGTCTAAAATATTAAAGCGCGAAATTTATATGTAAACAAAAATATTTCTAACTCGATCTATATTTAGAAGGTTTATGTCATTTAAGTCGTTTTTTTGTCAGTTATCTAAAATACATATTTGACTTTTTGTTGATCTCATTAAAGATTATCTATTTATAATGAAAACAAACAAACTGCTGTTTTAATTTAATTATTTCTAAATTTAAAATGAAAAAAAAAATAAATAACAAATCACTTGAGGGGGGGGTTCACAAATGTAACAAGGACGGGGGTTGAAAAATTATAAAATTTGTGTGACATAATTGATGGTTGGCTCCTAATAAGTACAATCAAAAAACTATTTCGAAAACTGTAGTTATTAGATAACTTTAAAGCTAAAGAAAGTATGGATTCCACTTTGTTACCTTGTTCCAATGTGTAAAAAATCAGAATCAAAGCAGGGTTGAAAATATTTTTTTGATATAAAAGGATTGATGCTGTTTTTACATCAATAAAAATTTTGGCAGTGATCTTTTACGCTAAAGGAATTATTTAGACAGCAGTGTAAAACTTTTTTTAAATTAAAACGGGTTCCAAAGGGAAATAGGGAACATGTAAAGAAGTTGCTTGTTTTTGAACCGAGAAAACTGTAATATAAAGATATAAAAAGTACTAAACTACGAAAAAATCATTTATTTAAAAAATATATGTTTTGAAAATAGGTATGTATTTTGCATTTAGTATTTAAAAAACGTATAAAAGAGAAAACTATTTTGTATTTTACATTTGAAACAGCAAATCAAAAAGTATGTATGTACATTTTTGCATTTTTTACGTTAATACTCTTAACAAACTATTTTGCACATTTCTAGGTATAGGTAATGTCGTAAATCATGATATACCATTTTTAAAGACAAGAACCTTAGGTGCAATTTTAATAACCCATTTTTAATATGAATTCAATTTTAGAAAAGCAAAAAGCCGTTATTCGTGACTTTTCGCATTTTTTTTTTGTTTGTTATAACTAAATATTCAGTTTCAAATTTTAGATTAGTTTCTTGCAAACATAGCACTTTTGCAATCTGGATGCAGATATTTTTTGATTTGAGAGTAATTAAATCTAACTCTCCTGCACTATACCTGTACAATACAATCCCGTACTTCATCACGATTTGCTTTTGGACATATTCAATTGTTTCTTTGCTGAAAGGTAAAACTCAGTAAAACTTACCTAAAACTTTTCGCATAAGTAGCTTCAGATTTTGAATTGAGTTTGGCAATTTCCATTGGGTCATCGTCAGAGTCTTCGTCACTTCCTACATGGATTACCGCATTACCATCTTTCGTAGGACTTGTGATACTTAATACTTTTTTAACTTGAAACCTGGTATTCTTTTTCACCGGGCTTAGCGGTTCCATTTCAACGCCTTCTTTCAGTTTATTGACGGCCAGTTTTTTTGTTTTCGGCATTTTTAGATGTTATTATTTGCATCTAAAGTGCAGAAAAGGATGATATTTTTGCCGTAAAATAAATGCTATGATATTAAAAAAATGCTCTTGATTATTTCATAATGTTATTTTGCATTTAAATGCATTTTTCAGAAAGACATTTTGAATTTTATTTAAAATGTTTCTCCAGGTGTATTTTCGGTTTGCAAAATGTAAAATACTTTCTTGCCGTTAAAAGTTTTAGTACACGTATTAACACCTATCATCATCATCATCATCATCATAAGGTAGTCAGTCCTAAGACTGGTTGGACATGTACCTCCACTCTTTCCTATCCTGAGCTAAACTTCGCATTTCCCTAAAACCAGAACAGCCCACATCCTNTCACTAAATTTATATTGTTTATTTTTTAATAATATATTTAGGCAAGTTGCCCAAGATCTATATTATTCAAAATTAATACATATTCAGGTACCTATTAACGGTAATTTTTTAATCATACGAGAAGTTTATTTCTTACGGAAATGTATAGATCTAACTCCTACATTGCTATTTTATGTTTCAACACATTTTATTGATTTTTGTCAACACTTAAACTAATGTAGTAACTAAAAAGATACTTACCAATAGAAAATTGTAATCACTGTTTTTACTGCTGCCTCCTTTCTTTTTCTTGAGAAACACGTGTTAATAATAAACAGAAAAAAGTGTCGATACCGACATGCTTCTTTATATTAATAAAAAGTTTTTAAAACTAAAATTTATAAATTTCACTTTCTATTAACACTAAATAAAGAAAAAATCAACAGAAAGGCACAAATACATATTTAAAAAATTACAAAACCGGCATTATTACAACACTCAAGTCAACGCCATTCAAAAATGCGTTTTTAGTAATCAAGAACGTAAAAATTAACAGCCGAGTTTGTTTCAGTTTACAGAATCGTTTACATTTGCGACTGATTTCAATTTTTGTTCGATAAATTACACAACATGTAAGATAATGTTATAATGAGTGATGTGTGTACGGTGTACCTATTTCGGTATATATTATTACAGAATACGCTTCTGCGTTCTGAGCACTACAGCTGACTTCGTTTTCCGTTTTATCCGATTTCTCCTTCGGTGTTCGGTCTGTCTTTGTGTTTGTCATGGTTTAAATACACGCATACATATTATTATATGCTAAGCTTAACTACCCCACTAACAATAAAAGCAGAAAAAAAAAGAATATTCCGCAGCTGCACTGGGTCTTCAGTATTGCGCTTCGACTTTGAATAGATACATACAGCTAATAAATGATTATAAATGAATTGAAGACTTTTTAACAAGTTTGAATTATTAAAGATTATACTTTCTGCAGGATTTCCTTTAATTGATTACCCAAAATAAAAAGTTTCCTTGTATTTCCAAGAATGTTTAATTGCGGAACTACGCCTTATGAATTGCATGTTTGTTATGTGGGTTGTAGAAATCAATGAAGCCATGAAGAAGAAAAGGTTAAATTAAATTTCCGTTATTTTTCCTACTAATTTTTTTCTCTTTCTCGTACAGTTGGATTGTTTTTAATTCAAGTAAAAATTGCGGCACATTATTTTTGAATCTCTGTTGAATCTTGAGTAAAAAGCTTTACATCTTGATTACATATAATAAAGGGAGTTATTGAGAAGTTCAGGTTTAGAATAATATTTTTTTCTAATTCAAAATAATCAAAAAATGAATTATCCTGTTGTTGTGTAATCCCCTTCAGCTACGCCATTGCTTTTAGTACTTTAACCGCCAACTTCAAGTCTATGTTGATACACGCTTAACGTCATTAACGTCACGGGCAATGTCGATTGAGAAATATATATTAAAAACAAAAATGGTGTCATATTTTAATCAATAGTGCGTTTGTCATTGTTTTGTTAGTGAATACTTCAATAAAATAGGGTATTCTTGCCTCCAAGAGATTTTGTGATTTTTTAAATAATCGCATCAATTTATAAGAGGTAAGCAAATATAACGGTAATGTTATAAAACTATTTCTTGTTTTGTAAGTATAGAGCTTTAAATGATCGCTCAGAATATTGATATCAATTTATTTGATCATGTCAAAGTATTTACGAAAACTGAAAGCTTCTGTAAAGTTAATGAATTCTGATAACCGTATGCATGATAATTTGTAAATATTGAGGTCTTGTCAGTGAACCATCCATAATGTGATTGTGTAGTGGCGGCAAATTCAAAAAGTTTTGTGTACTAATTGATTTCTTTTAAGGCAGGTTAGCTTTGTAAAGAGCAACGGTAAGTTACTTTATGTCTTCTCTATCAATTTTGCGATTATTCAGACATATTTGAATTTCTAAATATTACTCTCTCCTTTACAGAGAAACACACTGTTGGCTTCAACAGTGTTGTATCAACGTCCTTTGATTTTTTGAAGAAAAGTGTTAAATTAGTGTTGTGTATGTGTGAACCATGGAACCAGCAGCACCTGGTACTGAAGATGAAGTGAAACCTTATCAACAGTATAATAAGCAGGTAAACTTATATATTACATATTTTTAATTTATTATATGTATCTACCAACTTAAAACTGCTGGTAAAACTTTGTATTGCACTTATACCTATTTAAAAAAATGTTCTAGGTTTATTTGTTTTCATTTTTAAGGTAAGTATAGCTTATTGCTGGATTATTTCTATTAAAACAATTGCTGATATTTGTATGAGATTATTAAAAAGATGTTTAAGTCTTTGGTTGTGGTATTATATAGGTATTTAAAGTCATATATTAAAATTTCATTTATTACAATAAATATTTAATTCTCTCTTACAGTCTAAAGTAGACTTTAAATTGTTTTTATGCGTATAAGTGCATAAAATTGCACTAGGTAACAATTCCGGTAAAGGTGTAGTGGTAGTGTATGTGTACTACTGGTCTGTGTTGACAACTAACACAAAAACAGAAATATTTCTAATGTATCCAACCCATGTATTTACAAATAAAAGTTTGACTAAACTGATGAATATCTATTATTTTTTGTTAAGCTCAGCAGTATAAATTAAGTAATAAGGACATTGTACACATCAGTGTAATCAATTAATCAGTTTCTTTATATATTAAATGATTAATGTGGTATTTTTATGCAGGAAAATGAGAAGGAACGTCTGTTATCAATAAAAGCACGTTTGTCAACGGGAGAATATGGAAATGTATTCGAATTTAGCTATCAAAATGGGTGTGAGTCGTGGTACTGCAACTTGTGTAACTGCCCAGTCATGGGTAAAGTCTATCATCATGAAATTGGCAAGAGACATACCAGTAACATGCAAGATGCAGGGTTACAGTTACCTTCCAGTAAAGATAATGAAAGTGTTCAGGACTTTGTGCAGAATACTGTGCACGTTGCCCCTGGAGAACCAGTGCCACCTGGTTTCGAAGGAGAAGCACTGAAAGTTACTTTGATACAAGAACGCTTAGATAATTATAAAGTTGGTCCATTGATTGGTCTTGAATATTTGCTGGAAATACACGAATATGATCGCGAGAAAGAGCCTTCTTATCTGTGTATATTATGTGACAAACGTGGAGACCCCAGGACAGTTATTGCTCACTTGGCTAGTTACAATCATTTGAGCCAGGTAATTACATGACCCTATTGAAGTGACTTACTTAATTTCTCAATATTATTTTAGTATTTGCAACGACATTTCGTCAGTACCTACCGCATTCTCTCACCCTATATGATTAAACAGTTTAAACCCAACTGGCAAGCTGCCATGCAAAAAATTGCAGAAGCAATCGAATCTAAATATGGTCGCTTGAAACCTCATTATGTTGAGCGGGAGAGTTTTGAGGAGAAACGATATGAGTATCAACAGATGATTGCTCGTGGACCCCATTTCAGCGATAAGAATGGTTGTACGTTTGAAGAACTCCTTGACAAAAACGAACTGACGAAACCAATGGGTGAAGAGCCGATTAAAGTGATAAAACCGTCGGAGGATGTATCAAAACGCCCATATCGTAAATCTGGAACAGTTCCTGGATCAAATGAAAAGCGTAGCCCTTCGCCTCCTGTCGTTAATCGTCCCAAAAAGCCCATTAAAACATCCTCAGGTGAAAAATCCAAAGAGAGAAGGGCTTCCCTTTCTAGTGTTTCAAGCATATCCAGCAGTGATCTTAGCGATTTTGAACCATTCCCTAAAAAGGTAGACAAAAAAGAAACATCACCCCCAAGAAAATCGTCATTTAGATCCCGAAGTCGTAGTCCAGACCGCAGGTACGTACGTAGTCAATCCGTAAATGTCGCGTTTTTGGAATGGGCGATTAGGAAGACAGCAGTGTTTTCGTTAACGGCGAACTGAATTGTCAAATATGTTTAGTGTTAGGGTAGCTGATATTGGTTGTATTGTGAAGGAGGATATACCCTAATGACCAGTTGAAAACTGAGCATAGGGTTATTCTATTATATACAATCGTCAAAGGGCCACATCATCTTTTGAAAAATATGACGTAGTATGGGAAACCCCTAAAAATAACTTAAGTCATCTTTTCATATAAACAATAAAATAATATAAGCCTAATAAATGTAATTTAATGCTTTAGACTGGTGGTAGATTTTGTTCAGAAAATATTGAGGGTTCGGCTGGTTTAGGACTGTTTTCAGAAAAGCAGGAGATAGACGTGGTTGAAAAAAATATTCCTTATGTTCACCAAATTATGCATTTTCACTCGTGCATCTTAAAAAGAAAAAATACTGACAATAAATGTGAAATTTTTATATTCGGTGAGCGTTTTGTACCTGTGTAACTGTAGCAAAAGATTCTAAGTTTGTATCACGTCAATATCTGAGTTTTAGACCGTAAATTCTAGTGGATGTCTACGAAACCATCTGTATATTTTAGGTGTAACTATATCTTCTGCGTTATATTTTGGAAAGAAAAACAGTGTTGCTTCTATAGTTGTCCAGCGTTAATTGATAATGACAAATTTTTCAGGTTGGCTGTGACATATGCCATCATTTTGCTTATTTGATTGTTTCCAGATACAGAAAACGACGCTCAGTTACACCTCCAAAGAATAAGAGAGGTAGCTACGAGTATAGGCCTCCGTGGAAACGTTCTGACTATTCTCGTCCTCGATCTGAATTTCCCTCTGAAAATCGTGATAAGAATAAGCAAGAAAAACTAGAACAATACAAAAAGTTATCTGCAGCTATTGAAAATGATATGGAAAATGTGAAAAAGCAGCATGAAAAAAATCCGGAAAAACATCCCCAATATAACGAAGAATGGAAAAAGTTCTGGAATAAAAGGTTTGGTATATGATTTATTTAACATTCATATATATAATAATAATAACAATATTAGGTATAAGGAATTGCAAGCTGAAGGTAAAGACGCAGTAAATTATGATTTTAAACCAGAGTGGATCCAATTTTGGAATAAACGTATGATCGAACTTCACAATGCAGAAGTGAAAAGTAAAAAAGACGCTTTAAGGAAGAGGTATTAATTAGTTCCTTGTTTTTCGTAACTTAATTACCAATTATTTTATATTTTTGCAGGCTTGGGCTTCCTGAAGAACCAGCACCTGTTTGCTTTAAGATAACGGGAAAAAAGAAGATTGGAGGAGTAGATGCAGGAAAACCATCGAAACCTGCTCCTTTGGCTTCTGCTCCCGATCAGGACCCTGATGTGATCATTATAGACGATAAAGATGAAGATACTCTCAGTTCAAAACGGTCTCATAGTCCATGGGAAGTCGACTCTCGTAAGTTGAGGGGTTCTCGCGACAGAGAAAAATCCGAAGATAGGCGTAGGTCGAGGGAAAGAAACAGGTCAAGAGAAAGAAATAGGTCAAGGGAAAGAAATAGATCTAGAGAAAGGGACAGATCAAGAGGAAGGGACCGATCTCTAGATCGCCTAAGATCTAGAGATAGGTCTAGGGATAGATCGTTAGAACGTGACAGACGTCCCAGAGCAAGAAGTAGGGATAAACGATCGCGAGACAAAAGTTCAGAACGTGATAGGAGTCGCGAGAGGGAGAAGAGTTACGAAAGGGGAAAGGATTATCGTTCCTGGGAACGATTTAGCCCCGATAGGGATAAGAGATTCGTTCGAGAGCGATCATTTGAGCGTGACATGTTTTACCGTGATTCCTACAAAAAGTCATATCTTCCGAGTTATCTTAAACCACCGCGAGTTATGCGCGACGTAACCCGACATCCTGTATTATCTCCGCCACCGACTGCTGAACCAAAGGTTGATCCCGAAATCGAAAATATCGAGGTTAATCTTGTCAGTGTTCTTCGGTTATTAACCGCTTTGGAAGAGAAATTGGGCTCACTAGGCCCCAAAGTGATTGACCTTTTGGCGAAAGCGCTGGCAATGGAAAAGAACGAAGCGAATAGTTCCGAAACGCTCCTGGATAATGAGGTTACTTGTGTGCTATTTGAAACGGTCAAAGAAAAGCTTAAAGGACAATTGCTTGCTGGATTAGTGGATCATAATCAAGAAAAAGCTTTTAAGAATGCTATCAAGAAAACAGCTGAATTAATCTATATAGCGGAAGAACGAAGACGTAACAGTAACAAAATGAAACCAAAAACAGAACCAGTTACTGTGCCTGGCATTGGAACTGTTGATAAGGCCGCTATTGCGAAACAAATTGCCACTGCATTAGTTATGCAAGGAAAAACTGATGTAACTCAACAAGAACTGGAGCAACTTATTAACGCAGTGGTAAGTATTTAATTTAAATTAATATTCGGTAACATACAGGGTACACTTTTTGTTAACTAGGTTGGTATGGCAGAAGCTTCTAAAAATTCTAACAAACCTATTAATACAGCTTCCTTTCTACAACAACTTACAACTTCTCAGAAGACCACCACAACTCCAGAACCTGTAAGTTTATTTTCGGAGGGTAAATCAAAAGACTTTCCATCCAAAGAAACTGGTATGTCTGGTTCTAATATGGATGGTCTGTCAGATTCAGATTTACAAACACTTCTACAAAACTTTAAGGATCTCTCCACTGAAGAACAACACGGTCTTATATCTTATTTAAAGAAACTTGAAGCTAAAGAGCCCGAGCGAGTGGAACGACTACGTAAATTTGTAAAATTGGAATCGAGCGAAGGAGAAACCACAGAAAATGAGAAACCGTCAGAAAAAGTGAAAGATAATAAAGGGGATGGAGGTAAACCTTCAAGTCCGTTTGCTAAAAGATTAGGCGGTGGCAATCCTATGTTAGAAGAGAATGATTACGAAGAAAAGGATGAAGAAAATGAAAAGGATAACAAAAATAATGACGATTCAAAGAAGGAAGTAAAGATAAATTTAGATTCAGAAGACGAAGAATATTCATACGAAGATGTATTCAAAGCTGCTACTAAGAACGTTACGGAAAAAGAAAAACAAGAAGAAAAAACAGAACAAAACTTGACTGATGCGAAAGCTTTGATTGCGAATCTGATGGGCCAGTTGGGAGCCAAAAATAGTGCCCCGAGAGAATCGCAATTTACTTCAACTCCTTCCACCATGCCAATATCAGCAAATTTGACACACACACTGAACAATTTACCTATTAGTATGGCAAACTTGGCTAGTATAGTGAGCAATGTGAACAGAAATTCTGCAAGTACCTATTCTAATTCCAGTTTAACTGAAAATTTACCAATTTCAGCGAAATCTACGCCAGGAAATCCAATTACGAGCATTTCAAGTACAGGTCCTACTTGTACCACAAATTTCAATCCTTTAGGCATTGGTTATGTTTATCCTAATAATCCCGTTTATTCTAATGCTTCAAGAATTAGATCTGATATGGATGGAAATCCTATGAATATGCCACAAGGTGGTCCTATGGGCCGTAACCAAATAAACCCTACTTTCGGAGGTGCTCCAACAGGTAATTATAATGTACGTCCTATTCAAAGATTAGATTCAATGGGTCAAAAAGGATATGCTTATGAATCGGGCGGTGGTCCCAATATGGGACCCAACGGACCAAACATGCCCCAAAGCGGTCCGGGAGGACCACCGGGAATATCCAGACCATCCAGTGAATATGATACGGTTCAGTATTCAGTTAAGGCAAATCCTTATGTAAACCAGTTTCAAAGGACAGGTAATTTTTCGGGTCCTCATGGTCCTGTATCGTATCCAGTGTATGATCAAAATAGAATGGGAAACCCTGGAACTTACGCCATGCAAAATAGAAACCAATATGGAAGACCGTCTAATTTTGGAGGGCGATGGTGATGTTAAAAATATAATACAGAACTTGCCGAGTTAAAAAATTGTAAAATATTTCGTTCTTTCTTTCTTGAAAGGTATTATACTTGTGTATCATCACTGGACTATATTTATGTTTTGCCTGTAATCATTTTTGTATGTGTATAATTAATAATAATCTTGAATACTCGAGTGTCTTTGCATACCCAAGAAGTTATTTAAATAAGAAAAAAAAAACGAAAATAATACAACAAAAAATAAATTCAATACTTCAAATACAAATAGATATATCGGGGATAGTATCACGAGACATGTCTTTCAAAAGTAAATGTTAAGATAATAAAATAAAGTTAATATTGTCGATATTTTTGGTTAAATATTTTATGTATATGTAACATACAATTTCGATATTTGCTGCTTAAAAAAACTCAGTTACAGTAAGTTATAAAAACATTTTATATAATAAAAAAAAGCAAGAAAATGTTAGAAAATAAATTAACAATGCAAATGAAAATAGACAGTTCAGGATGAGCAAATTTAATTTTTTTTCGGTAATTGAAACAAAGGAAACAGATAATTTCGTGTGTTTTTTGGAAAATATGAAATGATGGCGGCTGCATAAAGCCACCATGTTTGTGTTTTCTTAGGTTATGAAAGACTTTTTATTTTTAAAATTCATTTTTATCTTTCAAATTATGAAAAATTATCAAAAAGATGACAGACACATATCACTTAAAAATTTGAATGGCGTCTTTATCAGTGTTGAGGTGCAAAGTGTATAAGTTTTCGATATAAAAAAATCACGTGTAGTACGCAAACACAAACCCATATTAAATGTAATCTTTACATTTATATTTAGCTTCACTCTTCACATACGTAGTACCCATAAGTAAAGAAAATAACTTTTGGTCTAAAAGTTGATACAGTATACGTGTTTTGCTATAAAAATGAAGTTTATACAAAAATAGTTTCTACTACTATAACAAAAATTAAAAATAATTATCCGTGGAATGTATGCAGTTTACAACACTGAACTACTTTGTTTAAAAACGACAATAAAAATTCTTCTAAAGAAGACCGCTGCTAAGAGAAGATAGGCGCTGCTGTCAAGTTAGGCACATAACGACCAATATATCTGTTAAAGGTGCTGTTTAATGTTAAGCTTAATTTGTTACCGTTTCTGATAAACGTCACTATTCAAACGTCGGAAGCTGTTTCATCTTTGCATTTGTAATATTTATAAAGAACTTATCTCTTGTTCACAAGCGTACCGACGCGGATGTACTTGATTTAGTGAGATTTATTAATTAAATTTTTATATATTAAATACCGTATGCCCGACAGCGTTTGTTAAATAAAGTTGAATAAATATCGTAAAAATGGGTTCGTTACGCTTAATTCTGTATTAATTTTTCGGTAGCTCTTTTACATTTGAAAATTTTGTTTGAGAAAGATAAGGTGATGTATGCCCTTTAAAAAGCGTCCGGTGATGTTCTTATGAAATTTTATTATAAGAATATACGTATCTACCGATGCGACGCTACAAATATGTAGCAGACATTATTTGTGAATTAAGTAACAGTGAGATGTAATAAAAGGCGCGTTGTTGCATACTAATCTTTTTATAAATAATAAAAAACAGAGCTATCTTTTCAACGACTCGTTAAATTGATGACCTCGTGAGCCAACAAAGATTTACCAAAGCCCTTACATAGAATCATATGCTGAAAACTATGTACCATCTACACATTGTCACATGTGTGTAGGCAACTCAACATACATAGTGGCAAAGAA